TGAGTGTGGGCAAAAATGTTTCAGAACTTGTCTCGAAAATGCTCCATCCGCTCTACAGAGGCCGGCTACCGCCCCTACTGTGGTTATCGAGGAACTGCCTTGTAGAACAATCTCGGCATTCCAGAGGGAATTAACTGGACCAGAATTCAGTGATGTTTGTAAAGAAGACGTAAACCGCAAACGGAAGTTGAAGCCATACGGAAATCCAAAGATCTCTGTGAATGACTATAGCCCAAAGATCTCTGTGAACCAAATTAAATCCGGCATATCTGCAAAACTCTGGACCGCATGTGTCTGCGGTGGGTAACGAACGTGCTGTTACGCTTTAAGGGCGCTAACGTGGGGACAAAGAAGTTAACATCGCGATTCCAACTGCAGTGTCATCTTAACTGGTTTCATTGCCGTTTTATGCTCCCGGACCAATACCGTTGATGGGTCATTTCTGACAAGCCCTATCGAATAAAACAGAGAGGCTGAGAGAAAGGCAAAACCAAGGAAACCCGCATGGACCGGTGGTGAACGCGTTAGCCCCCGGAAAGGGTAATAGCGCGTTCGTTCTCCACTACAGCTACGTGAGACCCGGAGTTTTGCAGATATTTCAGCATCATTGTGGTTATATCACATAAGGCTCTGCCGTGAAAAATTGTAATAGGCAGTAAAGAAAGAGTTGTAAATGAATCTTCTAAGGCTCGAGCAGTATGAGCTCTTAGGTCATTTAAAATAAGTAAATGCTAACCCTTAAGTGTCCTCAAACTAGAACAGTACTTTTATTGAAGGATAAAAGCGCCGGACTTGACTCATCGGTGGACTCCCCACAAATCGTCGCTAAGAGATTAACCAGCGCCAAGCGCTGCGTCGTTTATCCGCTTCGGTAGAGTTCCTACTCTTCGTCGTTCAGAAGAACATCAAGCTCAGTCCATTCCCCTGTTCTACAATGCACCTGACCGTTTCACTTCCTCTTATTTCACAACTGGTAGCAGTCTTACATGTTGTACTTTGTGTTATTTTCAACGAAGTAATGGTGTGAGTTTTCTGGATCAATCCACATGCACGAGAGAATGACAAGAATGAAACCAAATAGACGGAAGCCGGAGAATTTCACTCCAGAATTCAACGACAAAGTTGAACAAACTTATTCACCATGTCTCTAGATATTTCCTTGTGGAAGATGCCCAATTCTGCTTTCCTTGCAGTCAGCCATGGCTTAGAAGCAAAACGTTGACATTGAAGAACAATGAGATGCTCAAGTTCTCCAGGAATGGGTTTCTATTCCCAGATGCAATAGATAGCAGCCCAGAAAAAAATCACTTAGCCAGTAATTCACTAGACTGTTCTTCCTAATTCAGTTATCCTCAATTTTTTTTTTGAGAAACCAAACCCTTTGCATGGAATGTGAGGAAGAGTGAAAGAGGTTAGATTGGTAACACAAGTAATTGAAGAAAAAATTTTGGTTCCTTTCTCATTTAGCCACTAGATGCTTGGTTAGCGACAGGTTCGCAATGGTCGAGGTCCAGAGAATCGAAAATGGCTGTGAATTGATCGATAGGCTGGTTACTCGACTTTGAGACGTTCGAAAATCGGAGTATTAAGGCAGTTATTTTTAGAACATTGCATTCAAAGGAAGCACTTACCATATTCTCGTATTTTGGAATGTAAGATGTAGAATGTTTGAAGTTGCGGTTCCAGCTATCGGTGAATCAGATCAGAATTTGTTTTAGCTGATTCATTGCAAAAGAAAATATGCGATTGTTGTTTTTCTTAAGAGTCCACAAGATTGCCGCCGCTTTCTCGCCTTTCTCTTGGCTCCACGACTTGTTATACAGCTTATCATGCCTTTCTCTTGCCAAAGTCATTCTGCGTCTTCGTGTATCTGATGCTCTTAGCGTTCCGAAGGGACTGGATGTGACCGAATGTTGGCTACGCGGTCTGTTGCTTTAGTTTAAACCGCCAGATTAATAGCCTTTCTTTTACAAAATGCATAAGATAAGCCATAATAACGATGCGAAGCTCAAACGAAAAATCCAGAAAATGTTGGCACTAGTTCAGCTATTTCATCGCTTTTCCGACTTCTTCCACTCGTTTTATATAAGAATTAGCTTGTCTCTCTACCTTTACACCCTATTCCAATATTCTTCGAGCGTTTATAAGTTTTAGGATCGCTTAAATCCGGCAAGCCATCATCTTTCTAGGGTCAGAAAATTGCCCCAGACTTGTCTGGGAAGGCTTTTCCTAATTAGTGAAGGCACTAGTGACGACGCCAGAGCGCCGTAGAAGAGATTTATGTCGAGATTCCAAGGAGAATCAAATGGATCAGCCTTCGATAACATTCATGAAGGAGCAAAGTCCCACATTAGCAGCCGAAGCCATATCCCAAACAGCCGAACACCTGAACAATCGTGGGTAATGGATGCGAAATAGCGATTCGAATGTAAGAAGTTCCGAAATCTACACAGTTAATACACGTGAATGTATTTCATACAAATGGATAAAAAAGTAATTATATCAGATACTAATCATCATTAATAGGCCGCGTGTGGCGCAGTGGTCGGAGGCGTCTTGCAATATACACGTGCAATCGATCCACGCGTTCATAGTCCACCAAGCTTGCCATCCCTCCGGGGTCGGCAAATTGGTACCAGACTTGCCTGGGAGGATAGCGGCACCGACTCGATACATCGGGAAGCTACTGCGAGTCATTGTAAAGGCCAGATACACATTCAACCTCCACCTCCAAACGATGCTAAATGAAGTCGAATGCATGGCGCATCCCTCAGAGATCATCGAAGAGAGCTTTGTCCTTTTTTAGCCATTATTAATGCTTGATAGCAATGTGAGCAGTTAGTACAAGGCATAGTAATATTTCCAAACTAACTTTGCTTTAACCTCAGTGTGACTAATCTAATATAATATAATATTATATAATACTATTATACACATATATACGTATGTCAACCACGTCTAAGCTTATCAAACAAAGAATACATATTGAGCAGTATTTAGTGAAGCTGTGATGACTGATGATGTTATAAAACTGAAGTGGGTCTTTAGCACTTGTTTCTCATCTGGACCATAAAAGAATGTTGTAGGAATGACCAATGTCTCTCTTTTCATTTACGAAAATGTCGAATGAGATCAAACCTAGGAAATGTTGTAGTTATCGTCATCGGCCTGCGTTTTTTGTGTTCGTACCTCGTGAATCGGCTTCCGTGTCATACACAATTGATGTTGTGGTTTAGCGTGTGAGCCACGAAGGACGACTAAATGGGTTCCGGAGTGACAATCTCGAGCCTCAAGGTGAGCTAACCTTTCCTCAAAGAGTGCATAAAACAAAGGCAAATTGTCACAAAAAGAGTAACACCTCGATTAGCCCCATTTTCTCCTATTAGGAAATATATTTTCTACTTCTAGCAAGTTAATTTTTCTACATAGGTAAACTTGGCTTTTTATGTGAAATACAACGACAAAGATGCGATATGAGCAAAACTCGGAGCCTTGCGTGGGTTTTGAACCCGCGATTACCCTTTCAGGGGTAACAAGTGGTCCCACGTGCCGCATTTCATTTCAACTAGTACCCTACCATGAAAAAAGGATAGACACTAAATAAAAGTCAGAACATCGCTTTTTTGATCTGGTCATCGTTTCCACTCGTGGTTAAACGTCTGTGAGCATAAATTATGTTGCGATCTATTACGAAGAAGAGAGATGTTGCAGAAGAGAAGCTGCTACCAGCAATTGCCTCTTTCTTTTAGCTGCTTTCCCAGAGATGTGAAATTATTAGAAGAGATTGCTTTAGCAAGCTGGTTTGGCGCATTACTAGGAAAGTGAACTTGGTCGATAATCTACAAGCAGCGAATATCCTTGCTGTCACCTCCTTTGATAGCACTCACTGCACTTTCATTCTGCTCACATGGAGTCTGGTTGCAGATGCTCATGTTAAGGTTGAAAAATCGTGTAAATGAATTGGTGGGCGTGTGACGAGGTGCTTTTATCTTGTTAGTTCCTCGTTGGACGCAATGGAAAGTTGTTGAGCTCAATAAATCTGTTCAATGTCGTCCTTCTTAGATATCGCATGAGTGGCGCTAACCTCCAATGCACGCAGTGGGTAGATTCGAACCCTAACTAAGCCAACCAAGCCTCCTACAACTTCAAAGTTGGAGGAAGCTCACTCGTATTCACAAAACCTACGAGAGCTAGGTATGGCTACCCTTGGACTGGATTCCGGCAGAATCTACTCGACCAGCACTCAACGACATTCATAAAAAAGGGCAAAAATACTCAAGTAGAAGTCAGACCCATGAGCAGATCTGAAGGCTTTCGTGGATGCGGACAAATGAATTGAATGGAAGAAGTGTTGCGACCGGAACGGTATATGAGAAAACTAGTTGTGTCAAAAAAATATGTCTGCTGAGTAATGAAGCTATAGCTGATGAAGTCTCCTCTATCGCCCTCTATTCTCTATCGCTTCCCTCTCAGCAGAATCTCGACGCAATAGACATACAAAATCATGATTTTTGACACATTTAACAACGGCTAGCACGAAGAAATCCCTCAAATGCGTTGCATATTAAATGGATCTTAGCGATGACATCGGAGTACATTTACGAAAAATGGCAATGACTTTACTAGGAACGGATAGATTATGAAATATCGTTTTATTTCCTATTTATTCCAAAGTAAAACAAAGATGAAATATAACTCGTATGAAATGCTGAGATACCTGCAAAACTCCGGACCACAGGTGTATGCAGTGGGGAACGAACCCGGGACCCGGATGGTGTAGTGGTGAAGTGCGCTGCTCCCAGGTAAGGACAACAGCGCGTGTTCGTTCCCCACTGCATACACCTGAGGTCGGGAGTTTTGCAGGTATCTCAGCATTTCATACGAGTTATATTTCACAACATACCCTGCCATTAAGAAGAAAAAGGCAGTAAATAAAAGAGTTAAGAAAGATAAAATACTTTGTTCCATGTTCAAGACAATACAATACGTGTGATGTTTGAATGCTAAACGGACTGGATGAAGTTGCAGATGGCCGGCGTCCTGGTGGCGGTCATCGAATTGCTGCTGTGCATTCTTTCCGTGTATGGCCTCTTCCGCAACTTTCATCTTTTCGGCTCGAGCTATTTGTTTTGGTTTATGCTCGGTGAGAAAGTAATAGAATTTATTTTTTTTACAGGACCAGCCTTTCACACCTTCTCTGCGGATCCTTGTATGTACTCCCTACATTTGATTCGTTTCATTGCATCCACCATCAACGAAGTTTGCCCAATTTTTTGTTTGTTTGTTCACCTCCTGTTTGAGCATTGTTGCCTTCTTCATAAATGTCATCAAATGCTGGTCGAGTCGATTCCCTGTAGAGTCTTGGGTAGCTGTTCTAGAGCGTCCCAAAGTGTAATGTAGCGAATGAACTTTTACCAAACAAATATGTCACCAATTTCCTGACCCCGTAGGGTTGACAGTCTCGATGAGCCCTGTGCGGAGTCGAACCACTTTCCTATATATATGCTGGCCGGCATCACTACCACTGTGATACCTTAATAAAAGTTGTTTTATCTGAGAGAAACAGATAGACTCCTATGGGAGTGAATAAAACGGTCAAATATCTTGGAAATTCAAAAAGTATAGCTGAGTAGAACACTGGACGATTATTCACGGGCCTTCAAGAACCTTCATTTCTTGGACGATTGCTCTCAAGTGCGTGAATTTTGTAGGATGACGAGTGGTGTTTAGGGATTCTGTCGGTGATTGTGATTGTTTTCGCCATCGTTCTGATGCTGTATGCAATCAAGAAGGAAAAAGCACGCTGGATTATTCCCCATCTTAGCGCACAGGTGGGCATTTGTATACTGTCATATTATCGTTGTTGTTATTGTTATCATACTTATCAGTTTGTGGTTATGATGCCATACCGGCAGCACAAAGAGTTAAATATGCAAATTTTTTTGTGTTTATCTGTTGGCTAAGGAAAAATGGGTTAAGTAAAATTAAGTCAACTTGTGGTATATTAAAAAATAGAAAGCGTAAGGCTCTCGGCGTTGACCAATACCTGAGGGATGCGCCATGCATTCGACTTCACTAAATATCCTTGGAGGTGATCGAATGCATATTTGGCCTTCACAATGACTCGCGATGACCTGCTGATATATCGAGCCAGTGCTGCTATCCTCCCAGACAGGTCTGATACCAATTTGGCGACTCCGGAGGGATGGAAGGCTTGGTGGGCCATCGGCACAGGATCGATTCCACGTGTATCGCAGTGGCGCCTCCAACCACTGTGCCACACGTGCCCTTTGTGGAAAATATAACAAAATATATGTTTCGTATGTCTAAGAAGTGGGATGTGTGGCGCAGTGGTCAGAGCCGCCCTGTGGTGTACACATGGGATCGATCACCGCAGCCAAGGCTTACCAAGCCCTCCATCACTCCGGGGTCAGCAAACTGGTACCAGATTTGTCTGGGAGGACAGGAGCACTGGCTCGTACATCGGCAGGCCACCGCGAGCCATTGTAATGGCCAGGTATGCATCAGTCACCTCCAACGATGCTTAGTGCAGTTGAATGCACCCCGCATCCCCAAGGGATTGATCAACGCCGAGAGCTTTATCCATATTTTGTGTCTAAAAAGAAGTGAAGCCTAGAGAGAGCATAAGTCGTATTGTCTAAACGAGTAATATTCCGACTTAGAATTTCTTTATATTTCACAATCGCGCATTTTTCTATCGAGGACATTACAAAAAAAATTTCTAGAGGACATTATATACGAACGTCCCATTAAATCCGTATCATATTCCGAACTTAGAAGATCCGTTTTCTGAGTGTTCGCCTATGGAGTAAGTGCTACCCGAATGTCGGTACTCTTCTTATCACTCTACAAGGAGTGGAGTGGCTGCTGTTTATCGGTCTAATTTCTTCAAAAGAACCCTCCCTATCTTATGTTTTTCGATTAAGCAACTAAAACTCAGCTTCAAACGCAGTACTTTAGAATCCTGACTATCGATAATTGTTGTTTTCTGAATCAAAAACACAACAATGGATTTTTATAGAAATTGCATAGCATCGGCCATAAAACCATCGTAATCCTCCAAACAAACGGTATCATGCAAGTTGTTATATAAAGCAACGAGATAGAGTTGACACTCTTGCGGTAGAGCGGAACTGACTCGTATGCCACTCACTCAAGCTGATCCTACTACTTTCAGGTGTTCCTAATCCTTTTCCTCATCATCGTTGCCATCGTGGTCGCAATTCTTCTACTCTTCGGCGCCTATCATGGGATTCGCAATCTGCTTGGCGTTTATGATTACTATATGAGTGACGACTGTGAGTAGCTTTTAAATTTAGGGCTATTTGGGAGAGCAATATTAGTGATCAATGACAATAATAACCCTTAAGTTCATCTTCGCCGATATGTAGCTAAGACGTTTTTTGAAAAATATAGTGTAACTGACCAACACCAAGGCACCTATAATCGAAATTAGCAGAGTTAACCTCGGCTTTTTCCTAAATATATGTTTAGAACATACAAATGTACTACCTGTTAACTGAAGATGTGAATTCAGTTGCTACTTGAGGAAGGAAAAGTTCTACTATTATTGTACAATGTGGTTATTAACCACCTGCTTCCCCAGTGAGTAGCTGCTCGGCTCATCTTCACAAGTACTTCAAACCCCATCACATTTCTCATTTTTACCTCAGCCCCGTCGTTCGTGGAAATGATCATCCTTAACTATGAAGACCTATAGGGATGTCTTCTTATGGTCCATAACACATTTACAAGCTTAATACAGCTGAATGTTATCTGCTTACAAACACGGTGCACCACCTTGTAAACAGTCGTCGTAGAGTACTCTTAGATTTTGTTCACTTTTCCACTCAGCCATCAGCTGTCGACTGTTTCCCATTCAATGTATATTTTTCTGAATCACGGGGATAAGGTGGTACTGAAAATCCTGAGACACAGAATTCGGCTTGGTATTGGGTGTGGTGTGCATTTTTGAGAACATATCGTTGTGGCGTGCAGAACTCTCGCCTTGCTTGAAATGTTCACCAATTTCGCAAATACCAAAACTCTGGTACGACATCTGCGCCAAAAAGTTTGCTGAAAATTTTTGGAGCCAATAAACTGATAAGTTATTTTTTCCGAATACGGCCATAGATGTTTTCCTTTGTGTCCTTGATTCCACCTTTATGAAATTTGAAAAAGAGGAGTAGGCAGTAAATAATAAGTTGAAATTGTGATTATAACTGCAGCCTCAGCTTAACTGGGTTCGTTGCCGATTTAGGCCCCCCAGATCAATCCCGTTGACAGGTGATTGCTGACGGCAAAAGTTCGATAGAACTAGCTGAGAGACAGGTAAGACGAAGGACCCGGATGGTGTGGTGGTGAAGTGCGCTGCTCCCCGGTAAGGATAACAGCTCGTGTTCGTTCCCCACCGCATACACCTGCGGTCTGGAGTTTTGCAAATATCTCAGCATCGTTGAAGTTATATTTCACAATGAATGCCCTGCCGTTAAAAAGAGGAGTAGACAGTAAATAATAAGTTGAAATTGAGATTTCCTATATTCGAAGAGCACCTTAGGTCGGATATGGAACCTAGCCTCGGTAATCAAAAAACCATCCGGGGACCGCTTCTGCTTGCTTAATATTGCACCATGAACTCTGTTTTCTTCCGATTTCTACGCGTTTCTACCTATTCCCACCTTTATTGATCCTCTTGAACCGCTTTAGGCTCCACTGGTGCCCCTGAAGCCCACCGATGTCGCAATGCGAAGGTTTTATATGAATTCACTCTTAATGCGCTGCGCCCTTTTCGTCCCAATTGCGCCCCTCTTCCATGGCCGATAAAAGTTAGCAAGAGGAGCAAACTGTGTTACCGAGAAAGTTCGATAACCATAGATACAGTTTGCATGTAGTTTCCACAGCAGAATTTGTGCCAAAATCGTAACTGCGTAATTGATTTAGCTTCATTAAATGTTCTTGGCATGAATTTTACGATGATTTTTGTGTAGCGCCTTTAGAATAAGCTAAACAATCGAATCGCATATATTTCAACGATCCTTTTGGTCATCCTGATTTTCTTCGTTTCTTTCTCGGGCAGGACGACCGTACACGAAGTCCTCACTGATCATAGGTGTTTCCTTTTGAAGACAATTTATCAGATGGAATTTGGGTGTGCACCTAGTTCGTGGCGAAAGTTCGTGACTAAGAAACAGTCGATTGCACTGGAATTATCCGGGTTGTTTTACCGTTTTGGATGATTCGAAACGAGGGTCATGGAAAGGGGATGATTGAACAGAACGTATTCGTCAGCAGTTACATTTTATTCTGTAATTGGTATATGTTTGCTGATCAGGGCTGCTAATGGGGTCTCATGTCCACATGAGTCCCGATAGCACTTCTTCACCGTTTCCTCTTTGGGATGCTTCCAACTGTTCTTTCTGTTGCACCGATTTTGAGCTTCCTGGTGACATCTTGATCAGTTCTCCATATTCATTGCCAGAACCTGTTAGATGTGTTGCAATAAGATCAATTTTGAGTCGTCTCTCTGAAGAACTTCTTAGTAGAATTAAAGATTCAATCAGAACATCTCGGTAGAAGAAGTGATGCTGTTTGCAATAAATTCGAAGTCCTTTGATGAGCCGCTCCAAGTGTGTCGTTTCTAGTCTGAATTCAACCAACCAATTTTCTGCTTGCTGCACTGCTGTTATTGTACCCATCGTTCCCATGAACTATTCATTAATGAGTAATTTTTATATTATTAATTGGAGCAAAATATCTTTACAAGTGTTGCTTAGAAAATGTGAAGTTTCATCTTCAGCGACGTTCATTATTGGGATTATGATAATCGTCATCTACCCGATAGTTGCACTTTTGGAGGTGTTCTTCCTAATCATCGTCTGGAAGCTGTACAAGTATGACCTGCATTGTAATTCTTATTAACATTTCAATTCATAGTTTATTTGCTTGTTTTTTATCATTGATTTAATTAAGCAATTATTAGAACTCCTATTGATTGATTAGCCTTTTGAACGGCAAAGCCTAGTCGTAGACTTTTGTCTAGTGCAAAGTGATCGCTCATAGATTGCAAAACATAATGACTTCTCAATTTTAACTTATTTTTGTCTGCCTACTCTTTTTTTAATGGCAGAGTATATTGCGAAATATAACTTCAATGATGCTGAGATATTTGCAAAGCTCCGGACCGCAGGTGTCTACGATGGGCTATTACCTTTTCCGGGGCACATAGTACCTTGCCGTAAAAAATTCTATTAGGCAATGAATAATATGTTAAAATTGTGACTTCGACTACATCCTCAGCCTAAATGGGTTCAATACCGATGTGGGCTGCCCAGATCAATCTCGTCGACGAGTGATTGCTGATGGCACTGATCGATAGAACTAGCTGAGAAACGGACGAAACGAAGGATCCGCATGGTGTGGTGGTGAATGCATTACTACCCGGAAAGGACAATAGTGTGTTTATTCCCCATCGCATACACCTGCGGTACGGAGTTTTGCAAATATCTCAGCAATCTTGTGGTTGTATTTCGCTTAATACCCTGCCATAAAAATTGTAGAAGGCAGAAAATAAAAAGTAAACATAATGACTTCTCTACGAATGCTATGGGCTTCGTTGTCGTCGTGGCGGTGCAATGGCGCCGTGGAGGAGTCTGGATTCAAGCAAACACTCTTTACGGTCTAACTTTCTTCTTACTATTCATTGATCGCTAGTATGTTGCTGACATGATATAGTTGACACTAACTGGCTTTATAATCTTGCAGTTCTACGATTGTTCTTGTCTTTTAGGCATCTACGAGACTACAGCAGCATCAGCCACTGGAGCGACGAGAAAAATGTGCACTGGCAGAACGTTGGCCCCCCGCCGAAGGTGAGTTGCAAATACTCGATATTCCTCTGAGGAGATTCTGGATCGACAGCCAATATCAGTAGCTTTCAAACTTCCCTAAACACCATGCATTGCTGTTTCCTCCTATTTTCATCGCATTGTCGTATTGACTGGTTTACAATAATTCATTTCACGTTTTCGGGACTACTGCGTTTAATGTTCAAAATTTGCCACTGAGGAGATCGAAGGTTTTTCTTCTCGCAGTTTCTGTGATTCTTATGTGACAAACTCTTTGCTCGGGCTCATTGAAAGGGGTGCCGAGTTTTCGTTACCTACCGATAATTCTTCAACACCCAAGAGTATTAAGGGAGTTGAACACTTAGCAAACTTTTCTAGAAAGCGACTTTTGTGCAACCTTGGCAAAATAGATTTTTTTTATTACTGAGTTAAAACAAGGTTGGTAAAAACAAAGATTTCAATCGGTCAACGTTTCGTCGCCTTCGCTTTCCTCGGAGTCGCGTTGATCCGAGTTCATGCTACACAGCCGGTCATTGGATCGCCTCGAGTAGAACATCGCTCGAATGAGGAAACTTCCTGTCAAACTTCTAGAAGAGATTTTTTTCTTATTGATGAAAGTGTACATGTATAATTTTTAAGCGTCGTCCTTGGTTTAAAAGTTTTAATATGGAATTTATAAAACATTGGACACATACCTACTTGACCCCTCCCCACATTCTGTGCCTTCCCAAACACTTCTCAGTTCGCTTTTTTTTAATCCCCCAGTCATCATCCATAGAGGTGCTCAAGTCCTTAATTGTTCAAATGGGTTCGCAAGCGGGTTACGGACTCGTCCTGTAGCTCAGGGGATGAATCACGGACTCGTTGAATGAGGTTGGGTTTACCCGAAATCCCAAGATCTCTAAATAGCCGTGCCAGGGCACTCTCTGGTCTTCACCACAGGCAACTGAGGGCGCATGGGGTCAGTGTGAGGCTTGCTGCCCTGCGACTAAGACTCTTTCTCGACTTTGGGCAAATTCTTATATAGGTCCACTTTATGTTCGCTTTTATTCTTTTTAATTTTCTGCCTACCACAATTTATTTTTCTGCCTACCACAGCAGCGGGGTATTATGTGAAGTACAACTATAATGCTGCTGAGATATTTGCAAAACTCCGGACCGCAGATGTCTGCGGTGGTGAACGAACGTGCTGATAACCTTTCCGGGGGCTAATGCCTTCACCGCTATACCATACTGCTTCTTCGTTTCGCCTGTCTCTCAGCTACTTTTCTATCTACTAGTACCATCAGCAGTCATCCGTCAACGGGATTGATCTCGTGAGCACAGATCGGCACTGAACTCAGTTAGGCTGAGGCTGTAGTTGAAATCACAATGGTAACTTCTTTTGACGAATGAAATGAATCGATCCCCACCGAAGACACCTGCTGTTCGAAGTTTTGCAAATATTTCAGCATCGTTATAGTTAGGTTCCGTATTTTCAACTAAGATCCCACTTACTCTATGAAAATGTAGAGCTGTTTAGCTTATTGTAAAAGCTAACTTAGCTGTAAATCCATAGCATGATGTATAAGTAAACCTACAGCAGAATTTGCTTACTGTCTTGGAAGAAGCGCTGTAGCAAGGCCCACAACTTTAATCTGATCTGCAAAAACTGGAATCGCAATATACATATACAGAAAGCAAATATGCTGGATATGTGTACTTAATCAATAGATGATTCAGTTCAGACTGACTGTCTTCAAAAATTCGGAATTTTTGAGGCGCCCCAGTGTTTGAAAAATCACCGTCGAAGCCTAAGTGGTATAACATTAAGAATGAGTAGAAAGGAAGACGGATAGCACTAGCACCATCTCAGCGTTTTCATCAACACGTTACCCGTTTTTTGCTCTACCATGATATGATATATGATAAACTTCCGGCTCTCACATTTATCGTCGTTTGTCATCCAGGATCACATTTCGGGTAGCGAAGCCCTTCAACAACGAGGACACTGGGAGAACAAAATGGTGTCAGCGACCGTGTCATTGATGTTAACGACTATTGCACTAGTGTTAAAATTTTTACAAAAATTGTTTTATTAACAGTCCATGGCTCCGACCTTCTACATCGTCCACCATCGGTTGATCTCGGTTGATTAATCGCAGGAATTGTTGCCTCTGTAGGAATCGCTCTCATCTTAAAAGCACTCCAGCCTCAAGACACCAAACCTTATTCCTATCCATATGAGTTGTAGCCTGTTGTAGTTGTTGTAGGAAAAGGCGTCTAGCAGGTTCCGTTCGATGAACCTTTGTTAGAACATGCAAAGGGATTTACAGAAAGGAGACAGCTCGTCCAAATGTAGTATAATGTAAATTATGCTGTGTAGAAAACATGTGTTTAGGGAGAGCTTCCACAGTTCCAGTGGAAGTGGAGAAATTGATCTAGTACAAAACATTTAGTACAAAGGTGGAGAAAATTTTCGAGGTTTGAATCCTATATGAGTCATATTCTCATTAACACTCCTTGCACCATTATATGTTATCTCAATTTTCTTGAAATCAGGCCGGATGTTCTATGGATCCAGCAAGGACTGATCTGATTTTAAAGAATTGAGGAACTAAACAAATACCCGAACTCTAGTTTAAAGATATCTTTGAAACCATGTAAAACCTCATCTCGTTCTACCAACACCATAAATTTTTTACAAAAGAATCTTCTAAAAACAGGAAGGGAAAAACTCTTTATGTTAAGGATAACGCACACGGTTCGCCAACGATGGGAGATATCTATCCGTACGGTCAAGAACAGGGACAAATTTTGTAAGTTTGGTTGGACCTGCGGTTACAAAACGCTATTTTTAACTGCCACCCATTGCCATTTGGATCAGTAAAAATTTTGCTGTGTTCTCAGCCTCTTTTCTGCCACTAACAATTGTAACCCATGTTTTTCATCGTACATCGTTTTTTTAATTTGTTCCATGATTTTAAGTGGAAAGCGATAAGCTTCCGATTACATGAAGTATTGTCTTTCAAGATGTTCCGATCGATGAGAAGTAGCAGAAACTACATATTAATACGCGATTGAGTCACAATTTCGTCTAAAAACATCCTGATGGCGATAGCTGTAATATTACTGGAATAAACGTTTTTTCGGAAGAGCTCGAAATCTATTGATGTACTAAGTGTCCGTGCGTATTTTCGTTTCATATAGCAGCACTGGCTCTATACATCAGTAGGCCACAGAGAGTCATTGTAAAGGCCAGATATGCATTCAGCCGCTTCCAAACGATGCTTAATGAAGTCGAATGCATGGCGCATCCCTCAGGTGGTCAACACCGAGAGTTTTATCCTTTATATTTGAAAAAAACTGTCATGAAATTCCATTAGGTCGCCGCATACGTGAGGTAAAGGCGTTGGATGTTGACGGCTTCCTGAGATTGACTGATAACGAGATTGCATGAATGGTCTTCAGGAACAACGAGTTAAGCATTTCTTCGTCAGCTACATTTTGTGTGAGAAGAACAAAAGTTGTTGGGTTTTCCTTATAGTAAACCAAAAAATCACTCGAAATGTGGATATTTGAAGATCCGTCGAGGATGTGGCTGATTTTGCAATAAGGGCGCAACTTACGTTTTGATCATTAAAGAAATAATTTCTGAAATACAATATCACAACGATGCTGGAATATTCGCAAAACGTGGACTCCGGACCAGATCGAGCAACGATTTCCCTTTCCGAGGGCGCGCGCATTACACAATGCTCCGCGGAGACCCTTGTTCTGCGTTTCTCTCAGCTAGTCTTCAATCACCCGATGGGTCAGTATTTTCTGAAACACTATTTAATAGAAGGTGTAGTGATTAGTGTTTTTGGTGTTTTTACATGACACTTAAGCAGTTTATATTTAGCAAGCCTCTCCACCTAAAGATCAGACTCTGAGCAGAGATTTTTACCTTTCTCAGGGTTATCAGAAATGAATAAGTGCTGGATGGAACAACTTTCACTATATTCGAGATGACGCGACCATGACGAACTGCTGCGTTCCTGAGAATACTTGCCAGCTGTTTTAATGAATTTTTCTTGGCTACCCGGCAAACATTTCCGCATCAAATTGTGAATTGCTTCAGATTTTAACTTATCAAGGTTGAACCACAAAGGTGCTGAAATACGAACAAAACTCAGAACCTCAGGTGGATTTTGAACTCATGATTGCTCCTACCGGGACTGACGTGCTATCCATCACATTAATCCAGGTCCTCGTTTTGACTTTCTATCAGTCATGTTTTTATTGGACCGGTGCTCTTAGAAATCATTCGGAACATTTCCGCCGACGAAGTCCATCTGAGGTTCTGAGTTTTTGCTCATATCTCTTTCTGGCACTTCACGTAGCAATTCCCAAGACCGACTTTCTGTTAACCTCGGCATTGATTGATAATTCGATGTTTTTCTTCAATAAGCAGACACGAGGTTGTGTCATTATAAAATTTATTAGCATACAATAGCTGACCTTTCGGCGGTTTCGCCTACTTTAGAGCCTGGAAGGGTCAGTTTGACATGCGATCTACAAAGCCAAACACTTCCATAACCCTAACAGATAAGACTTAAGCCATAAATTTGCATTCGCATAATAAACAGCTTCATCTAAACACCTACAGTTTATTCATTGTTAGCATTCCAATCAGTTAGTGGAGAGCGACAGCACAAAGTAATACATGGGCGAGGACTGTGTCTGTGTCAGGTCATTGGATTAGCCTGAGCTATGGCGCCAGGTCACGCGTGATTACAAGACACCCCTCCTTGCGGTTCATTTTTGATTTTTTGGAATTGATCCAAAACGCTTCAAGAGTTTTGCGTGCTGATGTTGTCGATCCGTGCGGGAGGATAGTGACTCCCACTTCAAAATCTTCTCCGTTGTGTTTCTGCATCCTATGCACGCCTAGTGGAGTGTTTGGTTTTATGTATTCTTTCTTGATAAGCTTGCACGAGGTTGATAAATATATTTATTTTCGGCTAACGTTTCGACGTCTTCGTCTTCCTCAGAGCCGGTGATCCGAGTCGATGGTCCATGCTTGTTGTTCGTCTCGACGTTGCGTCTTCGCCTTCGTGTCGAGCCAGATCTTCCTCAGTGAGCCATCTTCTCGAATCTCGATTCGAGAAGATCCACCCGAGGTTCTGAGTTTTGTTCGTATTTCAGCACCTTTGTGGTTCAACCTTGATAAGTTAAAATCTGAAGCAATTCACAATTTGATGCGGAAATATTTCGAGAATCGAGATTCGAGAAGATGGCTCACTGAGGAAGATCTGGCTCGACACGAAGGCGAAGACGCAACGTCGAGACGAACAACAAGCATGGACCATCGACTCGGATCACCGGCTCTGAGGAAGACGAAGACGTCGAAACGTTAGCCGAAAATAAATATATTTATCAACCTCGTGCAAGCTTATCAAGAAAGAATACATATTGATTAGTCACACCGAGGTTTAGGGAAGGTCGGTTTCGAAATGTTTGGTTTTAATTTAGATTCACCGACTAGGTGTTCTTTCATGCGGACGCAGAGCGGTCTACCCGTTTCGCCAACATATTCGTGCCCGCACGCTTTACATGAGATCAAATAGACTGTGTCCGAACTCATGCAATCACCGTCTCTACCATTAGGGCAAATTATGCAGTTTTTCGTTATACATAGACGGTCATATAGGCGGTTGCGAACTAGCTGGCGTCTTAGAGTGACCGATGGTATTTCTATCACTCTTACGGAATTCTCTAGACCGGCCCTTATTAAGCAACGTTTTATAGCTAAACTTATTTCGTTTGAAATAAAGAGCAACAGGAACGGAGCCTTGTTTTCGCAAGAATTATCGCTCTGGAGCGTGGGTTTTGCTCTATGCCTATGCCGAGAAGTTACAGTTTCGTAGCCATTTGAAATGGCTATTTTGCGCTTCAGTTTCGAGGATTCTTCCCTCTTATCTCTACCTGTGCACACGCTGGCAGCGGTTCGAAACATATTTCTTATAAGCGCTCTTTTAGTGTGTGAGGGATGAGAGGAGAGGTAGTGAACCACTTTATTCTAACTGCTTGGCTTTCGGTACCATTTTGTGTTGTAGCCGTTTTCAGATAGGTTGATTTGAACGTTTAGAAATGGAAGCCACTTTTTTCCGGTTTCTCACAAGTGAATTTTATGTACCGTGAGTGTTCGTTCAGTAACTCAAAGCATTTGTCCATCTCCTCTTGTGTGAAGCAGATGACAAAACAATCATCTATATACCTACAGTAGAGCAATGGCCTGAGATGGATTGCTGGTGCTTCCACTTTAGACCTAAAGGCAACGACAGGGTTAGTGCCAGTCGCTGTCCCATTGCCAACCCTCTAATTTGCGCGTAATATTTTTCGAACCATCTGAAAATCGAGCAGTTTAAACAGACCTTTAGGAAGCCGATCAGCTGCTGAATCGAAAAGCCATACGTGTTAATTGCTTCTTCGTGTTGCTCAAGAAGCTCGCGGATGACTTGCATTGCGGATTCGTTAGATACGTTAGTGTAAAGGGCGGTAACGTCGAACGACTCCATAACGTATGCGCTTTTGCGAGGTGCGTTGCGCTGACAGTCTAGGAACATTTGGGTGTTCGTGAGATGGGCTGGTATGTGCTTAAGCAACTGGTTGAGGATTAGATTTATAAACCAAGCAATTCTATTCATAGGCCCGTCTACATAACTGATGATGGGTCTAACTTTAAAGACGGAGGGGTCGGTAGACGCCAGATCATCAGCGGATGTTAACTTATGGGTTTTGATAAGTAAGTATAGGACGGGACATGTCGGCACTTCGATCTTAAGATGCGAAATGTTTGCCAGTTTTAAACCAGCTGAGCTTGCCACTTTGACCCATTCGTTGTTCAGTTTTCGATTTTGACTTCTGAATTCCTTTTTAGTAGATGCGCGATGAAAAGATGCGTCTTCAAGATGTTTTTTCATTGTATCGACATCTAACTGGCGAGGAATTACTACAAATTCTCCACCCTAATCACTAACCGATAGCCTAACAGCCTTTGATTTCATTAGCTCTCGAACCCGTCGCATACCAGATCTTTGCGCAGCTGTAAGATTCGAGATGTAAGAAGAAGTAAGATAAACTTTTTCGCGCGATATTGGCTAAGGACTTTGAGAGTTTCGCTCGAAAATATACGAAATTTTATATCGACTTCGTCGTCTGGGTCTTGCTGTCTAAAGAATAAGCGAGGAAATGGAGGTGGTGGTAGTGCCCCTATTTCTCGTTGTTCCTTTATATTTTGTGTCTCAATTCTAGCGTTGCTTCGGAGTCGATCTTGGAGCTCGTGCTGGCTGCACGCGATCCTATGCAAGGTTTCTTTAGAAATGGGTTGTGCTGGTGAGAAACTTGGACCCAATTCTAATAGCGAGCGCACGTCATCAGGCAGAGTTATGCCTCCTAACACGGTGACCCTTGACTTTTCAGGCACGTTATCGACCACAGTTTTAGTGCTAGCGCTTTCGTAAGCGTTTTGCTTTGTTTAATTGAAGCTGGTTTTTGCGAATGATCTAGTAAATTTTGAAACCTTCTGCTTAAGGTTACTTTGGCATTCGACCTAGTAGAATCGCAAACCAAAATTGACCCACGCACTATTCTCTTCCAAAGGGAATCTTCCAAATACTGAAAACAGTAAGATTCTTTCGACTTGCACTTTTTCAATTGCGCGTACATGAGGTCCTGTTTGCATCGAAGAGAGGCGCGTCGTAGTCGCGTCTCGATGTCCAGTACTAGTTGGCCCTCGGTAGGCCGCATACATCGTGTAGTCGTTTTCGCTTTTTTTTTCGACACCCTAAGACGCCAGCTAGTTCGCAATCGCCTATATTACCGTCTATGTATAACGAAATCTGCACGATTTGCCCTAACGGTAGAGACGGTGATTGCATGAGTTCGGGTGCAGTCTAACTGATCTCTTGTAAAGCGTGCGGGGACGAATACGTTGGCGAAACGGGTAGACCGCTCTGCGTCCGCATAAAAGAACACCTAGTCGGTAAGTCTAAATTAAAACCAAACACTCCACTAGGCGCGCATGGGATGCAGGAAAACGGAGAAGATCTTGAAGTGGGAGTCACTATCCTCACGCACGAATCGACAACATCAGCACGTAAAACTCTTGAAGCGTTTTGGATCAATTCCAAAAATTGAAAAATGAACCGCATGGAGTGACTTGTCATCACGCGTGACCTGGCGCCATACCTCAGGCTAATCCAATGACCTGACACAGACACAGTCCTCACCCATGTATTACTATTACTGTGCGGCTGCTATCCGACAACTAACTTAAATACTTACAACGAATAAACGGTAGGTGTTTAAATGAAGCTGTTTCTTATGCGAATGCAAATTTATTTGTTAAGTTTTATCTGCTGGGGTTATGAAAGTGTTTGGCTGGGTAGATCGCATCTCAATTTGACCTTTCCAGGCTCTGAAGAAGGCGAAACCGCCGAAACGTCAGCTATTGCATCCTAATAAATTCTATAAATAACAACCTCGTGTCTGCTTATTGAAGGAAAACATCGGATTTTCTTTCTGTCTTTTTTCGTCAAAGCCATTGAACAAGCAGAATTCCTTCCTAGTAGACACAGTGATGTCTGTAAAGGCATAACGGCGAATGCCTTTATTTAGGGAATTCTCAATGATTTGAATGTATTTAAATTGTTGAGCTTAGACGAGGTTGATAAACAACTTCTATTCGGCTAACGTTTCGACGTTGTCATCTTCATAAGAGCCGATGATCCGAGTCGGTGGTTCACAGCTGTTCGTTTTCTCGATGTGGTGTCCTCGTAGTCGTAGGGTGCCGGACCTTCTTCAGTGGAACACTGTACGAGTAAGGCATGCTCACCGGCAGTGCTCTTTTGTACAGGACTACTAATTTGTTGATGTTGATGACTGTTTTGAATGTTTGAGTACTGGGTAAAATGAAGAAGAAAACTTGAGAAAAACTGTAGGTGCTGCTGTAGGCGATAAACAGTGTCTCTTTAAAAATATCGCAAATTTCAATTTTGGCCCTGTTGCATAGCACGGGGTTAAATAAAACTGGAGAAGAGACCACAATATATGAGAAAATTTCTATCTAAAAGAAACACCATCATTCGTAACGAAAAATTCTTAGTGCCTTCTCCATTGAAGGTGAACTGCGGAGTAAGCCATTTCACTTTCACCCTCTGTGAGAACAAACAACACTGTTCGTTTCAAGCTTGACATTTCCCTCGCTCCATAACAAACTATCCAATTTCAAGAATATAAACGATAAACGAATTCTGAATGGTTTGGCTACCAGCCATGTTGAAATCTCTGTCTCTGCTTTATTTTTCCCTTATCTTACTGGTTCTTTGCGTTCGAACTTCAGTACCCAGAAACGACGATGGGCTAGCGAAGAACGGTAGGTGCACAATCATTGCTCCTCCACTGTCCTTCACATCACCATTCAATAACGACGGCATTCCTTCGTGTAACCTACGACTGCGGCCATTTCGAAACTACTACATCATATTTTTTTCTCCCTTAGCTCGCGAAGAACTCTCATGTTTCCAGTCGTTCCCAATGTTTTGTCTAAGGACAATCCATAGAAATACTTGTCGTTATAAAAGGTCTCACTATAAGTGGAACAACGTATTGTTATTGTGGGAAAAACTTACTTAACACTGAATAGGTTTTGGAAGAATTTCATCGATTTGCCATCGGAAAAGCATATTGAAATGCAGAGTAATGGACTAAATATGTCCTGAAATTTGAAGATCGTTTTAAAACCTGTTTTTCTATAGTGTTATTTCGCAAAATGCCCACTGTGGGAGGTCGTTCACATTACAGACAGAAACTGTAGCCAACCCGCAGTGCTCATAGAGGAAGAAGACGGCTTGTCTGTCACAAATCGAGCTTTCCATTTGATTTAGGAAAAAAGCGTCGAGGAAATAGAAATCCCCTCTTCACCCGGTATCAAGGAGCTTAGCCCACATGTGGAAAAGTCCTGAAGTTTTTCCATCCAGTAGTTCTAGCTTCTCTTGCTTAAAATACTTTGGCCCAAATGCGCACATAACAGGACATGTTACCGTAGTGTTACATTCTTAGCCTCGAATCTGTGTCTTCTACGGGCGCTTAAGAGTTTCCATGGTAGTCAGCGAGCTTTCTGATATCCTCTGTTGATCTATTCACTGTGAATAATGCCCATCAGCACTGTCCGCTTCATTGGAGAATTTTTAACTGGAAACTATAGGAAATCTTTTGGGAATTTCACTGCAATGAACAGTTCCCTCCATCACCATGCTTTTGCAACTCGGTCGGTCAACCTATAAATAATGATGGCAGTTGTTCGCCTAGTCGCCGCTGAATTTTTATGTTTCCTATTTTACACGGTCCGTCTTGATATGTAGCGTTGATCCCAGAGCTTCTTATATTCGACTCTTTTATTCGGATACGTTATTCACGAAGGTTCTCGATATTTTAGTTTTTGGGATCGGCTACCGCTCTGTTTCCGGTCTTCGAAAATTTCATTGAATGGTGGTCAAGTCGATTATCACTGGAATTTTTAGATGACCGTGCTAGGACAGTTCCAGATTTTCAGCATAGGCAGACGTCATCCTTTGTGGAGTGCACTGAACGATTGGATCCCCGGACGAATTTGGTGCCAATCTCTCAAGTCAGGACGGATGGGAGACTTGGTGAGCCCGCTACGAGATGGAGCCTCTTCTTTACTCGCACTGAGATTTATACTTGAAACCTGTACACTTTCTACCAACGGATTCAGAGGTTTTACAACTGACGGTAGTTTCGCGCGTATTTGAATATTTGGCTAACTGAGAACTTCATATATTCATATGAAAGACTTTGCTCTATTGCTCGTGCCTCTTACTTTTGCAGAATATTTCTTCAGTTTTAAACGCATCTAAAATTCTTAAAAACTTGGAGGTTAAACAAAACTAACTAAGATATTTGCAAAGCTCCGGGCCGCAGGTTTATGCGGTGGGGAACGAACGTGCTACTGTCCTTTCCGAGGAGTAACGCGTTCACCACCACAACATGCGGGTTTTTCGTTTCGCCTATCTCTCAGCTAGTTCTATCGATCCTTTGCCACCAACAATGACCCTCAACCGGTAAATAAAACGGTTAAGATTGTGATTATAACTATACCCTCAACTTAACTGGGTTCAATGGCGATTTGGGCTTCCCAGATCAATCCCGTTGACGGGTGATTGCTGATGGCAAAAGATCGATAGAACTAGCTGAGAGACAGGCGAAACTAATGACCGGCATGGTATGGTGGTGAACGCGTTACTCCTCGGAAAGGACAATAGCGCTTTCGTTCCTCACCGCAGACACCTGCGGTCCGGAGTTTTGCAAATATCTCAGCACTATAGAAGTTATATTTCTCAACATACCCTGCCGTTGAAAAGAATGGGCAGTGAATAAAAAGGTTAAGATTGTGATTAAAACTAACTGAGTTTCCAAAGCAAGCGCGACAACTGTGAGCACTACGGTACATTTGAAAATAGCACATCCCATTAGACTAAAAGCCGCTTGCTCAACTATTTTCTAATGCTTCAAAAACAATCAAAAAGCAGTTTTCGGGCTATACATAGTCCAAAATTCATCCAGGTAGAACAAGGAAAATTGCACCTTGTTGACAACATCTGCTGATTCTAATGGCTTCTATTTCGATCGACAGGTTCAGACTGAGATTGGTTGCTTTAAAGATGAAAGCGATAGTTGCGTTTGCAAGAAATACATTGTACCCAGTTCTCCCCAGGCATCATGTTGAAATGCCTATTCTGTCATGCACTTGATTGTCTACTTCCGTCGGCTTTTTGGATTCGAAGACAGAATGTTATGAAGCGACTGTTTAATCAATAAGTATCTTTTCTAAACGAAAATCCCAATTCTACCCATATTTTCATTTTTTCCATGAACCGTTTCCTACTTCTTCACCATCTTTACTTGTTGTTTACCTTCGGCTTTAAGTCGACAATTCAGCAGTACAGCTAAGAAACAGCGTAACACATGTTTAGAAATAGGATACTTTTGAAAATGAAGACGAACACGACGGATAGATTACTGGCGAGTAACTCGGTGAAAAACAAGGTCTTCGAAGATGCCGATCAAGACCGTTTCTCAAGCTTCAAGAAAAGCTGCTTCAAGAAAAACGTGGTCCAATAGAACACTGAGATTCTAGTTACGGTCAAAATTAGTACCCGTTTTGATCATGTGTGTTAAGCTCTTGTCTTGCTTCTGCTTAGAACATTTGGTGCTTTCCACTCGAATTAGTACTTAATCTCTGTTTTATCACTCTAATAAATACGATAGCAATAGTTTCTTTAGATGGAAACCACTGCACGTGAGAACACATTTTTCACACCCGGCGTCTATTTCATTAAGTAGTAAGCATACTACATCGCAGATGTATTATATTAAACTGACCGCTTTGTAATACACGTGTAACACCTATTGTTTCACAGATAAGCGAATCAAAGGCGTCGAGAGTGTGCCAGTGACTCTTCTTATTCTCTCTGCTTGAGAAACCTAACGATCCTCACAGATGAATCAGATTTTGTAGCTGACGGCCACGTAGTTTCCTCGTCACAGAAGCGGATAGGTTCCAGGTCGGGATTGCACATCGCCGTCACCGACTCAGAATTCAGTGAAGGGAGGGTTTCGAATTCCGAATGTGAAACTATTTATTGCAAATGTTCTATTCTCGACAACGCTTTAATGACGACATAAGCATTTTCTTCTCACGTGGTCCTTGCGTCTTTCATGAATGTCAAGAAAACTATAGACAGTCGGTAAGGCGCGGAATCCGAGAAGTGAATGTGAGTTCAGACGAAGTCACTTCTACATTCTCCTTTTCTCAATGTGATGGTGCTTTACTCACTTCATCATGAATCAACAGGCATAGTGTCTTCATCGTTATAGATTCATTTTAACAAAGAAGACTCAAATTTGAAGCGTCAGATTGTTGTGCCACCTTTAGAACAAAATAAGAGCGGGAAATTGCTTCCACTCACAACATCTACTTATTCAACGAAGAAGCGTTTTCACTGGCATTGCATGTACTGAACAGCAATCAATTAGCTAAAACTTGCTTGACACAAATTTGTTCTCGTGATGCTTTTTTTCGCTGAAATCTTAAGCCTTGCTTAGTAATATCAGTAAAAAAAATATCATCTTTTCATCAAAATAGCCCATCGCTAGCGACCATAGCTGAATTTCCCACCTCTGAGATTTGAACCACACATTAGACAGGCTGGAATTGCCTAAGAATATTCGGGTTTTCCGTTAAGAGTGTGGCCACGGATGGAGACGCTACGAACGGTCGCGGTCCTGCTTTATGGTGCTATCACAGCGACTGCGCTGGTTCGAGGCTGAGCAAGCGTGTGCGAAGGCTGGAGGACGACTGGCTTCGATCACCGATGAGTACGAGAACGTATTCGTCTTCAGTTCGTTTTAATTGTCATATGCTTTTTGTTCTTCACAAAAACAGCACTTATTACAGATGTTCCAGTGCGAAATAAAAGTCTGAGTTTTTAAACTGTTTTAACCAACAATTGCGCTGAACGTTAACCTATAGAAGAAGGAAGAGAACAATCAAATTGAAATTAGGCGAAAAATGTACGCACAAGATGGATTATGTTCGTGTCGTTCTGTAGGCTTATTTTTGACGTAACAAATTATTCCATCTCGGGGATAAATGTCAAGGCTTCCTCATTCCCAGGCTCGCGGTGAAGCCTCAGAAGTTCATCACTAACTAGAGCTACAAGAGATTTACATGGAATACTTTTGCTAAATAATTGGAAGATAAATCTATCTAAAATCTTACATTTGTGTGATCGGATCAAATTGCTTGGAGCGATTGTTTAAAAAAGAGCAGGAAAGTCAAAAGTGTACCACTTGTTGTAGACCTCTCGAAACAAATGAATCTAACCACGCCAACAGTGTGGTTGGGACGATTAGTACGATTGTCACGTACCGGCGCCTATGAATGGCATGACGGAGCCATTGGGCGACAAGCGGACGCCTTCAGAGGTGGTCAGGAATTCAGTCTTTCGTGGAAGCAGAGGAAAATCGATTACACCTACAAACAGCAAAATTTTTGAGCATGTTCAGAGCCACCATCTGGAACAGACCTCTGTATGACAATGTGGTTGGATTTCGATCGTCCCGAAGGATCGTGGTACGAGTGGGACTGTGGCTACGCGAGTGGATATTCTGCGCTCTGCAAAAAAAGTCTCAAGAAGCCTGCATTCCCCACTTCCAGTGAGTGTCGTTTATACTTTTCTTTTTCTGCGTTTTTCTCGTAATATTGTGGTGTTTACAGCATTTGTTTTCTGTTGTTTAAAACTTTCTAGCGACATAAGATTTACCACGTCCTACTCAGCAATGGGACCATTTTCGACGAAGCAGCGCTTCGAACCTACATCCCTCCAGCTCACTTTATTGTTCCTGTAGGAGCTCATACACTGCTTTTTCTTATATATTTTTGATTTCGCTCTCTTTTCACGTTAATTGCAAGTGCTTCGGAACAAATGATCAGTGAAAATGCTGCACACCTTTTAGTTATGTGGCAGCGAGTTTATATTTCAGTTAAACAGTTCTGTAGAACGGCAAAGACAGCTTCTGTTGAAAGCAACGGTCAACATGAAGGTGTAGGTTACATCCTGTAGGCCCTATAAGGACTACGGAGCCTTGGATATTCCTTAAACAACAGTTCCATACACTTCTGAAGCTTAGCGTGTGCTTCATGTAATCCGTATATGGTCTCAATATTAAACATTCTCAGTAGTCGCTCAGGCAGGAAACAGTTCGGAATAGTTCTGACTTGACTACTGCGTGAAAATATTTCTGTGATCGTTTTCGTGCGAAAGGACAACTGTCTGTCTTTGATGGGAGCAAAAATCAATATGGATTGATAAAAGTGCAATCGAGTAGCGGACATCAACTCGCAAAATATTTCATCGACGCTTCTAGCTACATTATATAAGATTTAATTTCACGTAGTTACGAACAACATCGCCACTCTGTACGCTTATGATTATTTCGAACTGGAGTGCAATTTCTGAGATTAATTCACTTACTGTTGTACCCTCTAACAGATACCCTTTAAGTACGGAAGTAAGTGATATCGATTCCATGGCTTCGTTATCTAAAATTATTGATTACTTCTAGAACAACTAGTCTTCATCAATGGCGTTAGGTCAGTCTCCTCGCCCTCTTTACGTTAATCCGCTAATGTTGATAAGTCGATATTCTGTTGTTCATCAGGAGCCGATCTTATTATTTGTTGAAAAAGTAGAAGGTTTTGTAGAGCTTTTCCACTTTCATGGGGTTATGCTTTGGTCTTCTATTCACTTTTGGTGAGGACTGAAAAGTGAAGCAGTGAGATATTTTTCCAATCAAAGGAATTTGATTAGAATCCTCACCTCACTTATTGAATCAATGTTCATAGTTATATCGGTCACAGTGAAGATTATGACCCAAATGCGCTTATCCGTGAACCCAATCATTGCAGCGCCACTTCCTACAGAGGGTGTCGGCACTCACTTCTCTCAACGTTGTTGCATCAATGGCGGCTGCTCGCAGCGATGTTCGTCTACGGAAAGGTGCATTCCTGATGATTTGGTGAGTATTCCCGCTTTCGCTTTCAACACATCATTGAGTTCAGACCCACTGTCGCATGACATATTAGAACAGTGCGTCATTGTCTCCTTCAAGTAATGTGTCGAATTAATGCAGACGTACCCACACCAAGAAAAATTCCCCCTTAATAATATTAGAAACACAATGTTTCACTTCCATTCGTCTGAGACTTACAGAAGAAGGTCTTGGACGAATTCTACCTCAGCTGTGAGGTTAATGGCGCACATCCTTGAGAATCCGGACCGTAGGACCCGCACAGTGTGGTGGTGAACGCGTTAGCCCCCGTAAAGGGTATTAGCGCCTTCGTTCACCACCGCAGACACCTGCGGTCCGGCGATTTGCAGATACCTCAGCATCATTGTGGTTGTTCCACACATAATACTCCGTCATGAAAAATTATAATAGGTAGTAAATAAAAAGTTATCATCTTTGAAAATATTCGCCACTTGCCAATTGCCAAGTTTTTGAAGCGATGTAATGGCTTCTCCAAACCTAATATAAAGTGAAAACACGGAAACGGACAATTAGTCGTTTCAGAACTGCTGGTGGCGGACGTGTCCAAACAACGGATTGGGATGGTGCCTTCCATTGCCATAAAGAAACTCTCGACGAACGATTTCAGATGTACAACTAAGGAACTATTTCTATACGTCTTTTTGCTTGTGTTCTTCTCAATGACTCCTGTCGGCCACTGTTGCTGTATGGTATGACAAGTTGTGGAATCCATTCTGGCCCTTCTGCATGTACGAACATCCAAAGTGACTTTTCTTGAAAATGATGATTATTCATATCAGATTTCGAATATGTATAGAATCAAGTAGTAAATAAGCAATGATTTAATAATCATCACGTGTCGCATCTCTACCATTTCTGTCTTTCCTAAGCAAATTTCTATTCATTTCTTAATTAATCGGTTAGTTATTGATTAGATGAGAACTGAGCAGAAGCCTATCCTTCAATAGATTACAATGGCAGAAACGGTCCTAGAAGAGGTCTAGTTGCAACAAAATTTTTCTAGGATTCTGCATAATCCTATACAAAAAATAATAAATGTTCAACGTCTTGTCTGACTCTCAGTCGAATTATCCTCATCAAAGACAGGCCAAAATCTCAGTAGTGAAGTAGTCTTTTTCCTACTCTTTCCTTTGCAGTGCAGAAGAACGTCTCATAGAATAACGACCATCTTATTTAATGTGTTGTGGCATGGTACTTTAGCTATTCCTCGGCCTAATGACACCATTCTAGATCCCCTGGTAAACCAAGTCGATTTGCGCTTCTCAAACATGAACAGACAGAACCCTTCGAGGGGCTCCAGAAATAGTGGTATAAAGAAGAAAGCAAACGTTAACAAGCAGATCACTGGTGGGATTGAAGATTCAGTAAGCTCCGAGCACGGGATGGAACTATCTACGAATCCAGTGTGAATTGCGAAACACCTCCTGCAACTGTGCTAAACCCACCCTGAATTGTATTATATAAACAATAAAACGAGAATGAAGAGAGTTGTAACGAAAGAGTTCCAATGTGACACAAATTATATGGTAAACGATTTAGCTGTATTTCCCAATACCGCAAAATAGGGCGGGTGGCGCAGTGGTATTGGTACCGTTCCTCACAGCGCGCTAATCGTTCCACTACGCATTGAGCTCACTAAGCCTCTCATCCTTCCGGGATTGGGAAATTTGTATCGGACTTGTCCGGAAAGGAATAACTGTCTGCAACCAAAATGAAAACGCTGGCAGCTCGGCCATTTTAGCACTCCAGGGAGAATCAACTCGAACATCATTCTACGATATTCAAGATGAAATGAAAATTCTCAAGCAGCAGCCGAAGCCAAATGTAATAGCTGGAAGACCTACGTAGATGATGGATGCAAGGAAACAAACAGAATGCAAGATGTGCTGAAATCCGCACAGTAGATGTGAAAAAGGAGTCGCATAATACGAAATAAAATAAATTAGTATAAAATTGTTGCAAAAAAGTTCGTACCGTATAGTTTCTGCAGTTAGGAATTTGCCTTAGATTAAGCTGTGAAGACGAAATTTGGATTGGGTCAGGTCTGACATCGTCAGCGGTAGTATTTATGCCTCTCAGTTAGCAATCAGATTCTCAGTAAAGAGTCAAAATGGTACGCTTCTTCGTGGTAAATAGCGAGTTGTACGAAAGTCAGATACGAGTTTGAACTGAACAAACTCTTCATAATACATATCATGAATATATAGGCATATACATATATATGTGTGTGCGTGTGACCAGTGTGTGGGTAGGCGTGTTTGTTTCTACGTATGAATTTGGGTTGTGTGTAGAGTACGTGTACGTTGTGTGTGTGTATGCAGGTGTGTAGGTGTGGCCTCATGTGAGTCATCTGTGTGTTACAACATTCGCTTAGAGATTAGACTATAGACCATAAACTGTTTCGTAGCAGAATACTTGTTTTAGAAAAAAACCAACGTCAGCGATTTATAACAGTGATTGGCTCAACGTCACGAGAAACGAGTTAGTCCGTCTCGTTCTGGAGGATTCGTTTGAAAATACTTGCATAGATATTAGGTCTATCGCTGAATAACGATGGAAACTGAAAACTTCTCAAAAGTGTTGCGAAATTCCTTTATTATGTCACTATTAGTGTTATTATTATTATTAGTTAGCGTTATTACTAGTGTTATGTTACGACCGACTTACGACTTCCTGTTAACCTCGGCATTGATCGAATAATCCCTTATATTCTTCTTGGGCAAACACCAGGTGTTATCTTACTCTTTATTCCGTTAAAGCTAATGTTTCACGGGTTTCGCCTTTCTCTTTTTTCTTCTTTTTTTGGGTAGGTTGCGGTCAACTTGACTTTTCCAGGCTCTGAGGAAGGCCAAATGCGCGGAAACGTCAGCTTTACCGAAATAAAGGGTAAAATAATACCGTGCCTTTGTTCAACAAGGATATGGAGTGCTAAGAAAGTCGAAACTACTAATTTCATCATATGTGATGGGTTAACCGTGCTATGGTCGACAAAGTAGCTTTGAAAATGCGGACCACTTCACCCATATAAAAAGCGACATTTCCTATGAACTCATTTTCTTCGGTGGTTCACAATTTTAAACATAATATTTACCGTTTTATGTCGTACTTTTACAAGACGCCAATTTCACTCAATGGACATTTTTCCTTTAATTCAGACAACTCTTCCGTTGAAGAACGCCTTTCAATAGAGGATGGAGAGCTGGAAGACCTTCAAAACATGTTCTATCCAACGAGAGAGCTATCTCATATTGGGATTTTATACCTTCCATCCAAGAAATGAAATTACAAAAATCTGTGGCCGACGTGAAAACCACGTTTGTGACTATGAAAGTGCTGGGAATCAGGCCTAGACGTTAGAAAATTTCTGTAAGATTACAAAAAAACTTGTGCACATTCCGTATTAGCCTTTCAACACGTTTGCGTTGTAGAAGTTCCTTTTATTTAGTCTTGAAGTGGATAGGGCGATTTCGATTAGCCGAGAGCGGGAGGGCATTGTCACCCTGACTGTTTACATTAGTTGTTAGAATGGGGTTCTAGTGAATTTGCGAGAACTCCGATAAATTTCCAAGAAATAACGTTGCTGTAAATTTCTCACACGTATCATGTCGGGTTGTGCAAAGCATCCTGAATTTCCTATCAGTAGCAAACA